TAATTCATTGTGACCGATTATGTGGCGGTCATTAAGCCACGTGTTAAAGAAAGGGGTCCGGTCTCTATGGCCCATCCCATTTTTCATCTTTAAGAAACACGTAAAATCGTAATGGATTCTACATTTGGCTATTTTAATTAAAACTTAAATGAAGTTGCTGATATTATTCTCTTTTTCTTTCTAATAACTAGGTTGAAAAATGAAAAGAGAAATAATAATTTGATGAAACTATAAATAATGTCAGGGGAAAAATAATGAATTGGCAATAACTAACCGATAGCAAATAAATTAAGAAATTGATATACAGATACATATATAATAAGAGTGCATGCATAAGTATATATATGTATTTGGTGTGAATGAAGATCGATGATGATTGATTTAACTTTTGGATCAAGTCCGGTACATGGAACTGAGGCACAGCAATCCTTAAAGCTTCATCAATATAATATTACTACTCCAGCAATTTAATTTAATTTAATTTGTTGGGAATTACGTTTACTGTATCAACGCTTTCAATTTATTAATTATATATATGGACATAGACATGCGTGGATCGGAGGCCCTGATCAAGCATGGTCACCCAATTACATTATTAATATATCTTTTTTTTTCCTGAGTTTATTAATATATTTATGTCATCATATACTCAGAAGTCGATAATAACAATATACATACATAGGGATAATTACAGTTTTGGTCCCCCAAGTTTGCATGTTTTTCACTTTTGGTCCCTCATTTACCGCCGTCAACAAAATACACACTAATGTTGTCACATTTTAACACATTTAGTCCCTCCGTCTGTTTGACCGTTAAGTAGTAACGGTCAACGGTTGAATTTGGGGTTTTTCTTTGAGAAAATTGCAATAAGACCCCTGTATTCTTTCAAAATATTATAAAAACCTCTAAAATTTTATTCAACCATAATTTAACTCCTATTTCATCAATTAACCAATTTTAACCAATGACCCCGATTTCTCAAAATTGGGTAATCCGACGTTGACTTTCTTTTTAACGCGGTTGACTCTAAATCACGGGGAATGTGTCCTGATGGATGACGAAGATGTTGGGGGGTGATGATGGATTAGTGGATGCTTAATTGGTTTTCGCGTTTGACGGCCAATGATACAAATTGATGGAACATTTCTTAAGGGCGAATTCGGTGGTATTCTTTTCAGTGCCGCGTCAAAAGACGCTAACGATGGTTAGTAATTTAAAATTTATTACATATTTTATTGGTAGTAACTGCGTGTACTGAATGTGTTATTTTTTTATGTTGAATGTGTTAAATGTGGTATGTTTTATGAGTTCTGAATGTGTTTCAAATGTACATGTAAATTGCGTATAATATTTTTTTTATTTATGTAAAACTGCAAATTGCAAATTGCAATCATACACCAGTATATGCGAACTGCAAACTTCATTGTTGTGGGTCTCACCATTTTTTACCAACGGAAAATGTTATATATATTGCAAAAGACAAAGATCATTGCTTCTCAGTTAGTATTCGGTGTACAAGCAGTATCATTTTTAATATGCATTTTTTAACATGTCAAGCAATATCATTTTTAATATATTCTTTTTAATGTATCGTATTGTTTGATGCATGACTTTTCCTTATTGCATTGCTATAGTTCACGAGGAAAACGATGACAATTGGGACTGATTTTTAGCATTGGTAAAACAGGAAATAAACAACGATCGTGTGTTCACGTTTATTTCCGACAGACAACATGGCATTCTAGTCGAGCTTAAAAAAGTGTTTCCAAACTCTTTTCGCTCCTTCTGCCTCAGACACATGACAGGTAATTTGAACAACAAGTTTAAAGGGGTCCAACTGGTTACGTGGAGGCAATCGTTATATCATGTGCATTTGAATTCTCAAAGACATGGTTCGGCAAGAAGATTGAGAAACTCAAAGCCAGTGGGTCAACCGGAATTATTAATTTTTTGAATGACTTGCCTTATCACAATGAATGCGTATTTATTTCGTACTTGATTGTTTCGTTTATTTTCATTGTAGTATTTTTTTTTACAAATAGAAACATATAATTGTGAAACGCAAACAACAACTCACATTAGAATATATAAATGTGGTAAAAGAATGTTGTCAAATGAAGTAGCGAACAATAAACATCAACTTGCAACCATCAAGTATCTATTTGAAATATGTAATTGCCATTGTAAAAGTATGTTGCAGAATGCAATAGCAAATTTTTTTGTGATTCGTGTACATTTAGCCAGTGAACTGCAAACTATCATAAAATAGCAAACTGCAAATTGTAGACAATAAACAACACTTACAGTAAATATAGCCAGACAATTACAATATGCAGTATAATTACAACAAAAAAATATTTCGTATTGCCAAACTAACATTGCATAATCTAAAATCGCAGAATTCCTTTTACAAATTCAAAATCCAAATTACTCCAACTAGCGTTTAACGTTATAACAAAATAGAAATGTCAGTAAACGTATATTTCATCTAGGAACAAAGAAATAAGGTGAATACAAAGAAGTTCTTCAAGTCACATTAAGGTAGGCTTGATGTATGCAAATCAAACATAGTTATGCATCATTCTGCACTAATGGTTGTCATAAGCAATATTGTCGAAACTAGCTGATACTTGAATAGCCGCCATATTTATTACGTCATTTGCACGTTATAAGAAACTTTTCATGTCTCCGCATAAACAAAAAATGGATCTTCGTTTTCTTTCTACTAGACATGATCCAGTTGATTCTTTTTTTCTTCATTTCTTTGGATGACGTTGAACAGTCATTTGATGGCTTGTCCCCTTCACTTGATTTGATTGTTGAACACGCGATAAGAAAAAATTTAGAACAATTGCAAATCGTAAATTACAAACTTCAACAATTTTTTAATAATTGCAAAAATCAAATTCAATAGCAAACAAGAGTTGTCTATGCAAATAACAAATAACAACTGCAAATTCAAACAAGAATTTGCAAAATGCAAACTGAAATTGGAAACAAGTATTAGTTGCAAACAAGTTAAAAAAATGCAAAAAAACAGTTTAAATTTCCACAATATGCATGCTAAAACAAAATGCAGACCACATTAATAGCAAATGAACTGCTATTGCAAACGACTTAATAAACAAATGTGGACTGAAACTACCACTAATGAAACTCCTCAAATATGCTATGTGCAACTTTAAAATGCAGCCCATATTTGGTTATTGTAATTTCGATTTACATTTTTTTTTTTTGATTTTATACAAACAAAAGCCAGTCTTATGAACTTCAAAAATAGACTGCCTTATGCAATTTTAACCCAACTAAGTGCAAATCAAAATTTTCAGTAAATGACTTTTTGCAAATGAAAAAAAAAAATAAATGGGTTCTTCAAAGTACCAAAAAATATAAAAACAAAAAAATTATTCTTTGAACAAAACTGGTAAGATGTAGAAATCCAAAACGAACATATTGAAATTCAACTTGCAAACTCATAACAGAGAAATACAAAAAGCAAAGTCATAACATATAATTAGGTTCATAAAGAGGAGGTCCAACACCAAACAACTCTCAAAAAATGTAATTTAAAATACAGTTCACGTTTTGTTTTAGAATAAACATAACCAAAGTTGTAACATAAACAAACCCCTCAATTTTTTTACCTCCTTTGCTGTTAAGGGGAAAAAAAGCGGTTCTCAAATTATTATTGAAAAATTTGAAATAAATAGCAAACAAACAAAATACAAAAGCAAAAAAGGAACAAAATACAAAATTAATAACGAAAGAAAAAAAATCAAAATCGAAAACCCAACATGCAAACAAAATTTTACACAAAGGATCATTGCTTACCAAGACTCAATCGTGTTTTGGCCATCGTACGAACTCCAAACAACAAACCCTAAACACCAGTCGTTGATTCCGAACAACGGACAATTTGAAAACAGCAAACATAACTAAGGCAAATTGGGCAACAGAAAATCGAACGAAGGCAAACGGAATAAAGGTAAAATGCTCAGACCTGGTAAAACTGCAAACGCTTAGACACCCTCACGGTCAAACAACAAACCCTAAACACTAGCCGTTGTTTCCGACAAAAAGCAATTTGTAAACAGCAAACTAAATGAAGGCAAATAGGGAAACAACAAATCGAACGAAGACAAAATGCAAACGACCTGGTAAAACGGCAAACGGTCGAACACCCAAACCTATGGAAGGATTCAGAATTTGTGGAGAGATTTTCACTTTGAAGAAACAAGGAAGAAATTGATTTCCAGATTTTTGCAATTCTAATTTTCGGATTTGCAGTATAATCGGGAGAAAAATAGGGGATTTGATTTTCAAGATTTATTTTACCGTATATTGATAGGGATATTAATAGGGGTACTTTTGACAAATTATAAATAAAAAAAATTGCTGGAAATTAGAGTTTATTGATGGATTTTAACACATATAATCTCTTATAGGAGGACCTATAGCAAATTGCCCCTATAAACAAACATCAATATATCTCTGATCTGTACTTTTGCCTAAATTTCTGCCTTGGAGTATCAGCAAACACTACTAGTCTTTAAAGTGTCATATACTTCCAGCTACATTATCTAATACTAGATATTTATTACAACACGAACAATAATATTTAACTTGCTAATAAAGACTCTAATGAAAATGCTTTAAAAAAAAAAAAGACTAATGAAAAAATATGCTCATCTTTTTATCATATTTCAATTATATGTTGATGAGAAGAGAGGTTTTTGTATGGCAGGCAGTGTGTGAAAAGAAGTATATAGTCTTAAAGAAACAATAAATATTTAACACGTGTATGGTCGGTTTTCCTTGGAAGAGTTGAACAAATTCTACTCATTGCTAATTATAAGTCATGTCCAAGACAAACCAGATTAATAATAATAATTGAATATTAGCTTATTATAAAAAGTAAAAAAAAAAAAAAAAAAACAATTAATTTGTATTTATAATTTAGCAGAGGAAATGGGATAGATAAATAGGCAGGCAGAGGCAGTCCCGATTGCTAAGCTCCATCATCAATATAATACATCCTCCTTCCTCCACTTTCATATCTATAGAGTACTATTGGCTCTTCCCCCAGGCCACACCCATACCACATCATATATATCCTCTCTCATAATCTATCTGGTTGGGTTTTTTCATTTTTGTTTTCTTTCTAGATATTATCATTAACTTGGCTTGCCCGTGATATATAATCACCTCCCCACCACCAGGTTGATTATCAACCACGGAAGACAAGATTTTTTCTCTAAATCTAGCTAGAGAAACAAAATACAATATATATGTACATATCTATTATATTTTTTTGTTTTGATTTTTGTTTTTTAATTTCCTCTAGATATTTCTTCATTTTAAAGCCTAGCTACTATCTCTCAAGTCTTGCCATTGAAAATTGAAACTGCAGTTCAAAATTACATAAGATCGAGCAAATTTTGATTTTGAATTTGCTCGATCATTAATGCAAATATTAATTAATTAATTAATTAATTATGCGAGATCATGAAGAAGATAGGAATCGTCCAGAAGGCAACGGCGAGGTTCCTGCGGCGGCGGCAGAGGAGCTGAGCCCCAATCTCTTCACAAAATATGATCTTGGTAAACTCCTTGGGTGCGGAGCCTTCGCCAAGGTCTACCACGCCCGTGACCTCCGCACCGGCCAAAGCGTGGCTATCAAATCTATCAACAAGCAGCGTATTCAGAAAGGAAACCTAGCTGTTCACATTAAACGGGAGATCGTTATCATGCGCAGGCTGCGCCACCCCCACATCGTGCGCCTCCACGAGGTCCTTGCTACGAAAACCAAGATCTACTTCGTCATGGAATTCGCCAAAGGCGGCGAGTTGTTTGCAAAGATCGCCAAAGGTAGATTTAGTGAAGATCTCTGCCGCAAATATTTCCAGCAATTAATCTCCGCCGTCGATTACTGCCACTCCCACGGCGTTTTCCACCGTGATCTCAAGCCCGAAAATCTGTTATTAGACGAAAACTGGGACTTGAAAGTCACCGATTTCGGACTCAGCGCTGTAACGGATCAGATCCAAAGCGACGGTTTGCTCCATACGTTGTGCGGTACTCCTGCTTACGTAGCACCGGAAATCCTAGCTAAAAAAGGCTACGATGGTGCTAAAGTTGATGTGTGGTCCTGCGGAGTTATTCTCTACGTTCTGAATGCGGGATATCTACCCTTCAACGACACCAATTTGATGGCCATGTACAGAAAAATCTACAAAGGCGAATTCCGTTGCCCTAAATGGACCTCACCCGATCTCAACAGGTTTTTGACCCGCATACTTGATCCAAATCCGAGCACCAGAATCACGGTGCACCAGATTTTGAGTGACCCCTGGTTCAACAAGGGGTACAAGGAGATTAAGCATCCAGTTGACAGGGACTTCGAATTTAAGGAATATTCAGAAGCGCGTTACTTGAATGCTTTTGACTTGATCTCTTATTCCTCCGGTTCAGATCTCTCCGGTTTGTTCGGTAACAGTGGGAATCGGGTCAATTCTGAAATGTTTGTGTCCGCTGAGTCGCCGGAGTGTATAATCGGAAGGTTTGAGTCCTTGGCGGAGGAGGAGGGTATGGGGGTGGCAAAGAGGGGAATGGGGGTGAGGTTGCATGGGCATAATTGGAAATACGTTCTCATGGTAGAAATCAACCGGTTAACGGAAGAACTGGTCGTAGTGGAGGTCAAAAGAAGTGGATCTGGACGCGATTTATGGAAAGAGAAATTCAAGCCCCGGCTGAATGATTTAGTTCATAAACCTGACCTCCCCGCTGCAGGTAACTAGGATAAGTTGTACTCCAAAAAAAATAAAAATTGAAATTTGTCTATTAACTAAATATAATATTAATATATATATACATATTATGCGCCGGGAAGATGCAAAAACGAAGATCACATTCACACAGTACGTAGTTGAATATGCGAATATGCTGGAAGTGAAGGCCTATAATCCTATAAAGATCAACAGATATATTAATAAATCAAGTCTGGATTTTAATTACAAATGGAATCAATTAGAAAAAGTAGTGTGGTTTCCGATCGACGTGTCCACACATTAAAGAAAGGACTAATATATCATTATAGATAATCCTATAATTGTAAGTTGTCTCCATTCATCGTGAAAATTATTACTATTAGTAATATAAAAACATGGCCCTACATCATCTAATTAAATAGTGTGGGAATAGATGACAATAATTTGCACCAATAATTGATCTCTTAATTAGCTTAGTATGATCGTCACCGCGCGCATGTCATTTTCATATAATAACTTGGAATATTGAATATAATAAGCATTGACACGTAGTGTGGGTACGGTATTTTAAACAAACTTACAAATTTTCCTAACAAAGTTGAGGGCCGGGGTTCAAATCTTGATAAAAACACACGGAGCATGAGATATTAGCTAGGTGGTCGCTAATAATTTAGTTATCTATCATGTGTTGTGTTGTGTTGTCAACAAATGAGTTGTATATGTACGGACACGATCCTTTATTTCTCATGCCATCATTTTCTAACTATAGATTAGTTTATTCTCCTTCCTTCCTTTCTTCATTCATTTATTAAGAAATAAAAATGAAGAAACAAATCTGTTGCAGTTGGGCCTAAAGTTGATAAAGTTTGTTGCTGTTGGGCCAGTCAAGAACTATGACGGACCGTACGTGTATGTATGATACTAAGTTCTTGATAGTTGTTAATTGTTACCATATCCAAGTAAGGCTAAAAGGGCAACTAAGCTAGTTCTGGACTAATTGTTCTACTACTATTGTATTTGGATTCATTTAGATATTGTTATTTCCAAATGCAAAGACCGTACCGTTTATATTAATTCCAGTACCTACTAGTTATGATGAAGTGATACGTGAAATCTAGAAAGCTATAATAGCAATATTTTGTGCATACATATTCCCAAATCCAAAGTCCAATGTACACAGTTTGAATCAGAGAGAATTGGTCAAAGAAAAAAGAAGATAACCTTCTCTTTATCCATGGACAAAAAATATCACACCAACACCATCATTATCAATTGATATCTGAAAATCAAAACGCACCAACATGGAGTGAGTTAGTTATCCTTGATTTTCTTGAAGTAAAGATGAATATGTGATTTTCCTGGTGGCGAGCGCCTGCACGTCTTCTTTCGACCTATTCAAACTTGGAGTGAAGTTATCTCTAGCTAGTAGTATTAATAAGTGTCGACAGCTGGTACTATTTGGGTAGGAAATGTTCTTCAACCTTTATGATTATCTATATATTCTCATTATTGATTGTCACCGTCTTCTTATATGCATCTATGCATTTTACAGCGTTTTCTCATGCATATCTATATGCATTAAATTGATCAATAATTCCATCAACTAGATTTGGATTTTATTCTTCCCCGGCCCGGCCCTCATTAGATATATAACTTAGCTTGTTAAATCAATCCTCTTTACTCGTTGTCTTTACCAAGTCAACAAAGAAATCATGAACTGAATAAAAAATCTTCTCATTAGTCTTTACAAACAGATCGATCGATGCAGTTTCAAAAAGCAAAAGCCCTAGCTCCTTGTATATATATTAATTATATAAGCAATAAATAAATTTACATGTAAAAGCAAAATAAATGTGAAGGAACAACACAACTTGCTGATGAATGAATGAATATGAATGGGTGATCATCGATCAGATATAAGTTTGATTAGAGAGTTTGTAAACAGAAATGAGAGAGGACAAAGAGAGTGAGAAGAAAGCAAAGAATTCCATGCTAATTGCAGATGCCGACGAATCTGTAAATATGTTATCTGCACCTTCTCTCATTCTGTTTGTTAGAGGCACTGCTGATGATGCTGCCGATATCAACAAGTACGCCACTATCTGCAATTCCACCGTACCCATTTAATTAGAAACTAAACCAAATTCTATTGATAAATCACATCAAATGAATTATTAGGAAAAAAAGAATTAAGGAACATATAATTAATTCACCGATTCACAAAAATAAAATAAAATGAAGGAAGGACCCAAGGAGGGAAAAAAAGGACATGAACCTGGTCACCAAAAAAGTCAATCATGGCCGTTTTGTGCCGTGAAAGAATCTCTCGAGCAGTGGAAAGCTCATAAACCTGCCTCCATGTTTGCAATCCTGTGTAAAATGCTGATAGGATTGCTATTGCCAACACATACCTAATTAGAATGAAGATATATATATATATATATATATATTCAAGTCATTAGATATGATCTGATCACCCAAATTAAAGGGAGAATTGAATTGCAAACAATATATATATATATATATATATATATATATATATATATAT